TAGGGAACTGGAAGGCAGATGCTGCCAGTGTCCAGTCCCATCCTGGCTCAGATCTGGGGTGAGTCACTCTGGATCTGAGTGGGAGAGTACAGTTCCCAGGGGAGTGCATGGAAAGATGTGGTCATGTTGCCCCTTGCCCAAACCTGCACTCCTATCCCCAGCTTTTTGCTGCCATAGCAGGGACTCCTAGTGGCAAAGCTGCCTGAAGACAGATCTGCAGCAGCAGACATCAATTAAGACTTGCTATATGGCAAGAGAGCTACTGTAGCTTCTGCGTTTCATTCATACCAATTGCTTTCTCCTGGAGACTAACTGTTGGGGGTTTCTATACGGTCTCCTGAAGTCTCATAGTCCTGCCAAGGAGTATTTACCGTAACCCAGAGGTGTTGCTATGCATGTATGTTAAAATCTGTTTTCTCCTCCTTCCTCCCCTTAATCCACTCTAGATGTCCCGTGCTTGGAAAGCAGTGGCTTGTGGTGGAACCAAAGACCAGCTCATCATGCAAGACAAAGCTCGGCAGATCTTGGGCATGTTAAAACAGAGCCATACATCACGGACCTTAATCTTATCGTGACGGATTGCCCTACCTTTTTTATGATTTTTTGTACTGGTTTTTAAATGGGAAGATTAAGAAAGAACACACGGAAGAAATGTTCTTGGCAAGACAGTGTTTTTATGGGTTTTTCCTTCTATGAATTCTGTATTACATGGTAGATTCATATTTTAATAAATTGTGTTAAATGCTGGAGGAGAAATGGGATATAAGTTTTGGAACCAGTAATGGAAAAATTAGACTACAGAAAAATACCTCTCCCCTCCTCCTCCCCACAACCCAGAGAAAGTGAGAGCTTAAACCTCCTTCCTGTTCTTCTCCATTAGCAGAAATAAGCAACCTGTGAAATAGGGACAAGGCATTTACTGAACCCCAGTTGATTCCCTGCTGAGCAGAACAGATCAAGCTGAATTTCACACAGCCTGCTCTGGTCCCTGCATATTTCACCTTCCAGCTCCCTGCTATTCCTCTGAGGACAGCATGGTGCCTTGTCCTCAATACTGGTGAAAGATGCTTTCTGGCTTGAGAATGGTGTTCAGGGGTTGCCCTTTTGATGGTTGATCATCGCTTTGAATCCATTCAGCCCTAGGGAGTCTCTGAAATCAATCTGCCTCTTTTTTGGGCTGGACCATCTGGATTTTGCCCCATTATTGAGGCCTGGTCTAAGCCTCAATATACCCTCATCCTGTGTTTGGTTTTTAAGGTATTCTAGGATGGCAGCATTGAGTCTAGCTGGGATTCTTTTCTGTCTCATGGGCATGGAGGTTTAATCGATTTGTTTAGGAAACTACTCATCTGCCATCGGTGCTTCGTCTGTGGGAAGTCATTTATATCAGTACAGTACTGTGCGATTGTCTGGGGTGTTGCGCTCACCTCCAGCACTACAGAAGTTATTGTTAACAGTACGCAGCTTGGGAGCTGATGTACGTTCAGTGGAAGGCACAGGCAAGAGAACAGCCTCTGCTATGGTGTGAAATGGGACAGGATCTACAAGAGTTTGCTAGCCGTGTGCTTCTGGAAAGGAGCTGATTGTTACCTGTGCTTGTGCTGCCTCTAGGTAATGGAAGGTCATGGCTCGGTACATTTATTGATCTAAAGCAAGCATCATTGACCACTAGCAGTGGAGGAAAGATTGCTTTCTCAGTTCTGATCTGGTGGTTCTTTTCATTTGGTATGTTCTAAAGTAGTCTGAGCTGTTGCAATGTGAGGTAGCTAGATGGTAAGTCACACAGCTGGTACAAAGTAGCTGGGCTTCCCAGGGGCCTGGGAAGCAAGTCGTAAAGGGGAAGAGGAA